ATTCATATGACTGGGAATAGTTAATCTTAATTATGTAATGAAACACAAAATTTTAAACAAATTTTCTATCACTGTATTATTTATATATTATTTACATTGAAATTGAATACGTCTTGGAATATTTTCAAAGGCCAAGTGAAGATTTGTTTATCAGCGCATAATAATAATGGCATAAGACAGCAAACCCAAACATTGCAATAAAATATGTTTTAATTCTTCGTTAAATTGTTTAGTTTGTTTAATGAGATATTTTATAGAGATATGCACTACATTTCCTGAATTATTTTCGATAGTAATGAATCTTCAATATGAAGGCAAACTGTAAAACTATTATATATTGAGTATTTTGAACATGAGAATGTAAGTCTCAAGTACTACGACACATTAGCAAGACCAATATCGGAAACCAAGAAATTCATTGGAACAAAGTTGTTGTTGCCGATCAGTGGCCGAGATCGCTAAAGCAGTAGTGCCGTAGCAATCTCAGACAAAAGGATCGCAGGTTCGAGTACCGCATCGGACATGGTTGTATTTTATTCATCCTTTCACCCCCTATTATTATCATATCGTGTCATCTCACAGGTACCATACCGTTACCCACAATAGTAGTCGCTAATGACCTAGAAGTTGATGCGACCTTAAATAACCAAAAAAAATATTACTTTACAGTTATAGATAGCACTTTCCTGAAACGCGAATAAAATGTACGATTAACAAGAAAAGACTATGTCGTGATCTTTATCGTGTATCATCCTTTGAACCTTTCGTTTGAAATCGCCATCACCTTACCAAGAGCGCGGCCTTCGGGCTTTGTAATGCAGCTGTAATGACAGTAAAATGTGACGACAGTGATGTGACACACGCCACCAACCCTCTTGCGTTGTAGATTTTTTTAAACGTATGAAGTATTGGCTAGCGCTGCTCTTCAGAACAACTCTTTTGGGAGCGTTCGGATTAGGTTCTCAAACACCGTATTCTGAGATGGGAAGAAGCTGGAGTCCGAAGGAACAGGCGACAAGAAGAGTTACGACCACACTTTTTTAATTTTATTTAATTTTGTGTCTTCGATAATTTTCATAATTCTTTTACATAATTTGATTCCTCGATAATCGATATATTTCACGTTGTACGCCAGGGGACGAAAAATCCAGACAACTGTACGTTTAAAGTTTCTTTTCATTAAGAATTTACAAAGAAGAAATTTTCAATTTATGAAAATATGTTGAAGTTAAAAGGGTCGGCAATGCCACATTCAGCTACAGATACCGGGGCGGAGCCTACCCAAACAATTTACGAAAAAGAACCGTTTTTCCTTATAAACTATCATACGTTTACTTATAATTTTCCAAGGCACAATTACCATGTATCTCGTTTGGCCCTTGGTAGGTCTTACCACTTGTGGTTTTCATTTAAGTGTGAAAGTCGGCGATTCCCATGAAGCCACAGGCGCTCATAGCCTTCATCGCACGCGCCGAACGTGACTGCAAAACGCAAATATGCTGAGAGGGATACGAGCAGCTTCATTTTTACTTTACCGCCTACCACAAGCTTACGAAGTAAAGAGAAACTATTGCAATATTGCAGCCAAAAGTGGCGATTTCTGGCTAAGAAAAATCTCGTATTCTGGGGCCCTGATATCGAAAAATTGGACAAAACGTTTTCCTTTGTGTAGTAAATTACTTTTCTTACACGTTGTGTACCCAGAATTCTCGTTTTGTGGGTCTTTGATACCGAAAAATTGGTTGACGGAAAAATGTCTGTTTCTCCGTCTGTTCATCCGTCTGTAGTGTATAAGCGCCTAAACCGTTCAGATGATCTTCAAAAGTGATTTTCCCATTCGATCTGACCGAACTCGAGGCCCTGTGAATTTGAAACAGTTTTGTGAAATTCAAAATGTTCACAAAAATGCCACCAAGTTTTGGATTTTTTCGGATAGAGCAACAGACTTTTTAAAAAAACTCGTATGCCTCATTTTCGTTGACCGATGAATTTTCGAAAATTACACGAGATGAATTGTTTTTTCCGTGACTTCTTGCATGTACAATATTCAAGATGGAAAATTTTTCTTAACAAAATCCCCTCTTCAAAGATAGACATTTAAATATGGCCATTTGGACATTTTTCGAAAATATGAATATTTTCCCTCTAAATATAGGTAATTTTAAACACAAGATTTTCTCAAACCTGACTCCATGTTTTTCTCTAATAGAGCAAATGTACGCTTAATAAATGACGTTGTTTCGATTTTCGCTGAACTCTTAATTTTCAAAATTGCAAAAGTTGCAAAGAATGCGAGAATGTATGTGTTCTTTTAGCACCACTAATTCCGAAGGCTCTTCTGGGCCGGCTTTTCAGGAGTCGTCTAGATGCACGGAGTATGTAGCGATTCACTAACTCGCCCTCACACGCACACATACGCACACACGTTCACACACACACACACACACACACATACACATACACACTGGCGTGTAGGAAAGAACCACAACGCACATGGCAAGCAAAGTGAGGCACTGAAAGTCATGAAAAAACAACAGTATGTTGCTAGTAGTGCAATTCGTATGAACAACCGGTGCCGTTCATACGTTGTTCGTTTTACTCACACTTTTGGAGAACAATTTTTTATTATAGTTTAGAGATTGAGTCTTAGAAGATCCTCAAAACTAAAATAAATATTTTACAAACATCATAATAAAACTTTAAATTATATTTACAGGACTCTTAAGTGAAAGAAACAATAGAATGTAAATAAATAAACAATTAAAATTTACCGTGTTTGTCACGCATTGGTACAATTAATCACCTTTTCTCAGTTGGCGAAATAAAATACGGACAACATAACGGAAAGTGGAACGGACGCGAATTATCAACTGCCGACAATCAAGCAGGAATTCGTTGCGTAATATCTCTGCCACAACGCTTGCGCGAGTAGAGGGAAAGATTGAGAGAGAACCCCCTGTTGAGATCTTGGAATTGGTGAAAACAAAGTAGGATACGGAGGTCTTATAAAATACTAAGGTGCAACGAGCCAGCGTCAGAATTCAGAAAAAATAAGCAGTTTCTATCTGGCACGAAGGATCATGACAGTAGTCCGTCGTATTAGCTTTGATTAGTAGGGAACAGTTGGGTAAATTGATGAGTGGGCTAAATAGGGAAACACTGACTTTAGTAGTTATAAAATGATAAAAAGTACACTTTTGACACCGTGTTTTGACATTATACACGTGTTGCTTCACCAAAACATACTTCCGCAAATTATTTGAATCTCGCATCTACAAGAATCTGCAAACACATTCCGACCAGCAAAAAATGTTTCTCGGCGTCGCTACCAGAACACACGCCGATGGCGTTAACTCTCCACGCTGTATCACCCAATCGTCACCCTTACTTGTTTTTGCTTAAAACAAGAGATCTAAAATTCAGATTAACGAAAATTAGACCTGCATCATATTTTACGAGCCCTTTGCTCTACTCGTGAAAAAATTAAAGAACACAATTTAGAGCCAGTTTTGAGAATATATATTTATTAATTCCATGAACTTCGAGCACACGTGAAAATTACTCGTTTTTTCTAAAGCTTTCAAATTACCTTTGATAAACACCAATTTTTTTAGAACAGTTATCATTTAAGACAAACATTTCAATATTCACATTGCACTTTAACAGTGTTCTTTTTTCGCAGTTTTCGCAAATACGAGAATTCGCCGAATTTGGAACCAGCACCAATTTTCTTACGGTTCTTTAACATATGCGTGGAGAAAATTAAAAGTAAAAATTAGTGCCGTTTAAAAATTTTTTTGGTATAAATTGCATTATCTTCATACATACATTAAACGAAATAGAATCGTTTTTAAACAGATTCTACTTGACTTTTTTAAAATATCTGTTTGTTTACAAACATATTTAATAATATATAAATCTCGACATTCATTATTGTATTTTTGCAATGTTAATTTTTTGGAATTTTCGAATGTACAGAGTGATTACCGAAAATGGGACAAGCACTAATTTTTACTTTCTCGCACCGGAGTAGAAAGGAAGTTATGTTGTGCTGTGCGAAAAAACGGCAAATTTTCGGTAGAAAAACTCTTATAGGGCCCTGGTAACGAAAAAGTGGATAAATCTTCTTCCTAAATTTAGAAAAAACTCTAGCAAGTGGTATAGCCTAAATCCATGTTTTGTGAGTCCTTGATTCCGAAAAATCGAATGACGGCAAAACTGTCTGCCGACTGCTGTCTACCTGTCTGTGAACAAAGAAGGCGGCTAAACCCTTCAGCCGGTTTTCTCCCAAATTGATATTCCTCTATCGATCTGCCTGATGTTGCGGTCCCTTGCATTTGAAACCAACATTTTAATTTTGGAGGGTACCTTCATGAAGTCCCAGCGTCATTTTCCAAATTTAAAAAAAAATGGCTCCATTGTTATTGATTAATTTTTTTGTTGGATGGTGTCAAAGACGTTTAAGAGAATAGTGGAGGTCTCCAGTTCGTTGAAAACCCTGAATTTACGATAACTGCAAAAGTTCACATTTTTTCGGTGTCTTCTTACAACTGAAATATTAAAGATAGAGATTTTCCCCCTAATGGAATCTGTTCCTTAAAGTAGATTTTGAAATAAGGTCGTGTATAATGATTCGGAAATTGGAGTACTTTTTGCATTATTTTTGCGTGAAAATAAGGGCGAGAAAGTACGTGCTGTTTTAGCACCACTTGTTTTACAGATCATTGATACGTACGAAGAACAAATTTTAAAAAAACATTTTTCAGTAGAATTTGAAAAAATAATTGTTTAAAAGCTTCCTAAAATTCCAAATTATGCGAAAACTACTTACATTTTGGAAAAATTAAACATAAATATATTTCAAGATGTCTTTGAAGAACAGATTTTCTGAAGGAAGAAATGTTGAATAGAGATGTACCCCCATCTCTACGTATATTTCTACAGCTCGAAGTAAAACAGATTCATGAAAAGAAAACAATGTAGTAGTTTTCAATACTTACTTGAAAATTTCTTACTTCTGATGAAATGTTCCCCAACTTCAGATAAGCGGCCATATTCATGGCTTCTCGGATGGTTAGGAGTGGTTGTAGTTCATCATCTTGCATAATGTAACACGAATGTTGGAAAAAATTTTGTAAGTCACGCTCTTCTCCGTTAGCAAGGACTGAACCAGTTACACCACGCGTCCTGGAAATATATCCAGCATACGAATATATAAACGTTATATCGCTTTGCAAACATAAAAATACATGGGAGGTTTCTTAGATAAGCAATAGTATCTATATCTGCCTGCATTTAGCCATTCTATGTACCGTAAGTAGAAATTTACATCGGTGCCGTTATAACACGAGGCTCTAGGTCGGTCAACGAACCAGAAACCCACGATGTCTCTAATTCGTCTAACCTTTGCGACCTCATGCAGTTAACGAATTCGGCTAGCGACGCCGGTGTCGCCGTCGTGACCTTTCAGTAGAACCATGCCAGAATTCGCCTCGGTGGCGGAGAGAAACCACGAAACCCCTGGTCGTAATGGCCGGCACGGGGATTGAACCCGGGACTCCCGAATGCGAAGTCAGCGCGCTACGTCCTTAGCCACTCCGCTGAGAAAGAAAGTTTATTATCAGTTAATAAGTCAAATCGCGTACAAATAGCTATTGTTACTTATCCTATCGTTTTCTGTAAGTTGAAATTTCCACAATGAAATAATCGGCAATTTTGCATTTAATTATTCCATAATAAACTGAAATATTAAGACTCATTTAATTACAGTTTGTCTTTCAAATAATTCTAAATCATTACCGCTTGTTGTAATTTCCGGGTACTAGGAAATGTTTTAGACTAATCTCTGCATAAGGTCAATTTTTTAAACTGAGATACCAAGTTCCTAGTTAATTCTGACTCCACTATTGGTCAGGAACTACTACAACAATGTTCTTAGTATATATGCGTATTAATGTTGTTCCCTGGCTAAATTGATGCGGGATAAAAGTAGAACCGTAAATGTCGGATGATATATTTTCGCCAGGCAATTGGCTAGGGCTTTTACATACTACAAGTACGACATATCATTTTGAATTGTCCGTCTTTCCGAAATACAAAACTCTCGTGGAGAACGAGCTTTCGCTCTAAGTCAGAAATTCCCACTCTTTTCCTTGCATCCAACCCTTTTAAAAGAATTGTTTGTTCCATCAAGCCTCTTACATTTTTACTTTCTCGCATACTACTTAGTAGAGAATATTGTAATGCATATAATATATAATATATGTGTAGCATATGCTATATATATATATATATATATATATATAAAAATATTAATATATATATATATATATATATATATAATATATATATATATTATATTGTGGCGTTATGGGATTGTCGGACCATAAACCACTGTCCTCATGTGTGAACACTACAGAAGGCAGCCGAGGATAACAGACGCGTAAGGCAGAGTACTTAAACGCGCGGCC